ACTCCCGGAAGGGACAATAGCGCGTCCGTTCCCACTGCAGGCACCTGCGGTCCTCAGTTTTGCAGATATCTCAGCTTTATCTTAGTTGTATTTCACATGATACCTTGTTGTTAAAGATCATAGCAGGCAGTAAATAAAAAGGTTAAGACTGTGATAACAACATAGCGTCAAAACGTTCGTCATAATCTGCTTTGAATTCAATGCCTTCCTGTGAGGAAATATTCCACCTTTGTACCTCAAACAAACATATAGAGTCGTCAACCACATGCGACTATAATCAGCTGTTCTAAACTTCCTCATTGGAAGTCACGAAAAAGCGGCTCTGAAGAAGGCGATACTGCCGAAACGTCAGCTAGCGCTGTACTGTATTGTGTTTTTATGGAAGTAAATGTATGCTGTTTAAAAACCTCGCGATTGCTGAACAAGAAAACGACACAAACATATTTCAACTTGTACTAGGTTTTAATAGTTTAGATCGAAGCAATTTGAATCTGATCTTTGCCAATAGGATGAAAATTTCCTTCTTTACAATACAAAAACTTGTCGTCAACAAATTCCGCGTTTTCTTCTTCGTTAAAGCTCGTGTTTCGAGCAGCGGTGTGAGCGCGGACATTTCATCACGCAGGTCTGCACCTAGTGAAAAATTCATTTTCGCCCTTTCCACGCTATCTTTAAAAAATCATAGCGCAATATTTCTGTACCTGCCTTTTTTTACTTTCAACTTCGAATAAAAATGAAATTTTATTTTTGTTTATTTATTTACATGACTTGACATATTGCACAGATCTCATTATTCCCTTAAGTCGATTGCTTCTCCCGAACATATCCCCCATGAAGATCTTTAGATTTGCGCATGGTTTCAGCCAATAAATGGTGAATTGGTTTTCTTTATGAATGTCGTTAAACGCTGGTCGAGTCGATTATCCCTAGAGTGCTGCGATATCCATGTTAAGGGACTCCCTGATCTTTATCACTGAGGTTACCATCTTTTGTGCATTACATTGAGTTGTTCCTAGATAGGTTTGGCGTCAGCTTTCCAACTCCGAGGACTGGGCAGCTTGATTGCTTGTTGGTAACGTTGAACTAGAGAACAAGCATATATTCCTGGGTGGAATTTTTACAAGTGCTATTGTATGAAAATAATTACTAGAAGAAATTATAGAAATCCTAAGATTAATAAAGAAGATTTTCTACAGTAAGACCATCAACTGCGAACTGTAAAAAAATTTAGATTTGTGCTCGTTTGCTTAGAAGGCAAAGATTTATTTCTTTAAAAAGCATAGAAAGACAGACTTCTTTAGCATGAAGGGCTTCCGCTTTTTCTCGTCGGGCCCGTTTCTCGAGCAGCGAATCCATTAAATCAGGACATCGTGCAGCGAAATACTATGGTTACTCCAGAATGTGTAGTCGGTAATGCTGTCTCTGTGTTCGTGTGAAAGTTAAAAAAGGTCAACCTAACTGATAATTCCCCAAAAACTAATTTTGATTAGTATTCTTGGTAAAATTTACCAAGGAAACCATATCACTATACATGCATTCTAAAATGGGGCTACTTTTTGCACGAATGATCAACACTTTTTTGCATCGGTGAGCCTACAAGCGGTTGCTACGAGAGTGTTCTCATTGGAAGCAACGTTCCAGCGCTCTCACCGTGTTTAATGTCCACAGCAGCTGTTTCCTATTGAGTTGTGCGTCTTCGTTTTGCTAAAGGATAAAAGGACAAAGCTTTCGGCGTTGATCAATCTCTGAGAGATGCGCCATGCATTAGACTCCATTAAGCATCGTTTGGAGGTGATTGAATGCATATCTAACCTTTACAATGACTCGAGATAGCATACCGATGTGTCCAGCCAGTGCCGCTATCCTCCCAGACAAGTCTGGTACAGTCATGCAGACCACGAAGAGATGGAAAGCTTCGTGGCGCAAGGGGGGCTGGGATCAATTCTACGTGTGTGTAGCAGGGCATGTTCGCATTGGTACCAAGTGTAATCGAGTGAAGTGGAACCTTACAAGTATCCAAATACGTTATGAAGCAAGGAAAAGTGATAAGTCTACGAGTTTTGGTGTTTGTCAGAGCAACCGTCGATTCATTTTCAATATTTCGTTTAGCACAAAATCGCACTTTATGCGAAAACGCTCTAAGAACCTAAAAACAAATCGAACACCCAACGACTATAACGTAACGACAACTGTTTAACCTGCTGTAAATAACGCACCTCCGTTGTAGTTGCTCACTAAATAAGTGAAATTAGGACAGATTTCTTTAGATAGTGGTCATCTTACTACGATCACACCTTGAGAAACGGCTTGCGATAATAGTAACAGTAAATGATCAGAGTAGCATTTGGATTAAAAACCCCGTTTACAACGAGAATGCAGATAGTCCGAAGTAGGACTGAAAAGTGGGAATTCTACATCGAGAAGATGAATGACTGTGAACATCGACTCGAATCAATCCGGCTCTGAGGAAAACGAAGACGTCGAAACGCTAGCCTAGCCGAATAAATGTTGTATAACAACCCTGTTTAAGCTGAACGATCGAAAGATAACCACTATGATGCTGAGATAATTGCAAAACTTGAACCCCACACAAGATTCATTGGTGTTGGCACCGCTAAGGATAAAACTGGCTGATAGAAGGGCATGACAAAGGCCTCAGTGGTGCACTGGTAACACGTGATCCCCAGGAGGGGGAATCCCGGGTTCAAACCTGGCCTTAGGTCCAAGTTTTACAAATATCTCAGACTCATGGTTGCTGCATTTCACATCATACCCTGCCTTCAAAAATGGTAATAGGCAGTGAAGCGAAAGATATTTATTGATTATTTATGAGGAGGTTAAATGAAAGTCGGTTTAGTAAAGTATTAGTTGGAGAATTGAAAAAAACAGTCATCCGTATCACCTACTCCCGTTGATCGCCGAGTGACTCGAGCTGGTGTCAGTAAATTTACCACCTGCCTTTATCGCGTGCAAGAGTAGCCCAGTGGGTTTTGTTTGCTCTAGGGATTCACTGAGCATCGTCTTTCTTCTAGGCTTTTCGTGAAGAACACCGACCATCGGGTCGGTGGTATTCCTGCAGTGCGCTTGACATCCCGAGGAATCAAGTCACTAACGGCTCTTGTCCATCGTGTGTCATTCATACGCATCACGTGTCCAGCCCACCTTATCTTCGTCTATTTGGCGTACAGAACTGCGTTTTTATATTTGATCGTTGGCGTAGGTCCGAGCTTCGGATCTCTTCTCTTACTTGTGTGACACGGGACAGCAGTATCCGTATGAAAGAACACTTAGATGGCAAACGAAAAGCAAGACAAAGTACCCCACTAAAACACATAGGATACAAAAGTATAGCGGAGGCGATTTTGATGTAAGAGTCATCATCCTCGCACAAGAGACTAAAACACCAACGCGCAAACTTCTTGAGGCTTTTTAGATAAATGCCGAGAGCTCTATAATGAATAGTAGGGAGGAATGCCCAGAGATCACACGCGCCCCAGCCCCGTATCTTCGCACCAATTTCTGATGTGTGGTGATGCAGTCATCAACCATACGCGACTATAACTGTTGTAATCTTCCTCATTGGAAGTCACGTAAAAAGCGGTCAGTTTTCGAGAAACCGCTGATGATGTAATTACTGTACAGTTTTCTCCTTTTTTTATGTGTTATTGAAGCGCTTGGCTAAGTAAGTTGCACATCAGCATGCCCTTCCAGGCTCTGAAGAAGATGATACTGCTGAAACGTCAGCTGCCGTTGTATTGTATTGTGTACTTCTCTATGGAAGTAAGTGTATGCTGTATAATAACCTCGCGATTGGTGAACAAGAAAACGACGCACTCCTAGCGTCTTCCTTCCGACTGCGGGTTCAATAACGCTGAATGATTTTTCATCTTGCTTACGTAGCGACCAGGTTTGTGACGCATACGTTAAGACAGGAATTATTGTGGAGTCGAAATGGTGGGCACGGATTTGGGTGTTCTTTGTTCTCCTCACTACATCCTCGATGCTCTTGAAAGCTCCCCAAGCCGCTCGTTTCCTTCTCATCAGCTCTGGAGTTAAGTCGTTCAATACGCTGATTTTCTGACCCACAGAGACATAACCGGAGCTTTCCGATACATTCGTTTCGTTGAGTGTGAATGGGGCATATGAAACGAATCCGTTCCTCATGAACATCATTTTTGTAAGATTTAATCGAAGACCAATTTTGCAATAGAATTTATCAAAAAAATCGATATGCAGCTTAATTAGCGACTATATCATATTCATTTTTAGTTGGACACAAAAACCAGGTGAATAACTTGCCATTTAAACATATAAGCCATTAAGATCTTTCACCTATTTAACACCTCAGAAAGGAATCTCTTTAGTGCCTATGAGAAATGTTGGCTAAGTTAACTTTACCAGAGCAACAACGTATAAGACCAACGAAGTGCTAAAAAAGTTCGCAAATGGTTTCCTTCTTTAGATTTATCGACTTTTCCAGGATTTCATTATGTTGGACAGTACGTTGGAGTAAAATACCTAAACCAAAAGAAATAAATACAGAAGTAATCCAAAGAATGAAAACCAATTGGTAAAAACGTCTGCAATTGTATAAAAAGGATTTAAAGTATAGAACTAGTTCTTAGGTGGCTGCAGAGACCCTATTTTTTTGGGCACTTCCTCTACTTACTATGTCTCTTAAAGAAATATAGAAATAGATAGAGAAATATTATCGTTTTCAAACCTCTAGAAGTTATTTGAAGAATTCGCTCTACTGCTTTTATTCGCGAAAATCGAAGAATCTGATACCTTCTTCTATATCAGAGCTCTGAAAATCGTAAGAACTATCAGGTCAAATGGAGAGAGAAATGGATATAACTTTACAAATGCGCAAGAATTATGGCGCCAACAGCTAACGTGCGCTATTTTAATGAGCAGGGTTTCGCAACTTCTATAAGAAATAACTAGGTAAATAGTAAATAAATGCTTCAGCTTGCCATCAAACGCTTTAAAACAGTGTCTCATCTTGAATGTTGAGTTTTCAGTAGAAGTTTCAATGACTGAAAATGTCGTACTTCTGTGCTACTTAGATCAGCGTCAAACACTGGTTCTTCCTTTTTGATAACACGTTCGTCAACTACATTACTCTGTAAGCATTGGCCAGGTACTGGGATGGGATGATTCTCGATAAGAGCTGGTTTCAGTTCAGCTGCTTGACTACTGAGTCCATGGTCTTGCAATCCTTGGTAAACACCATCGATCTTTTCCCTAATTAGATCCAAATGAACTGGATCAATTTGTTGCTCATTTTGTTTTCCTAAAATAAACATACATATCTTTATGTGTGCAAAGTACTTTTTTACAATAACTCAGGTATAATGATAAAGACGGCTCAAATACGTGAGATGTTCTTAAGTGGATAATCCCCAGTTGTGTGGAACGAGCAATCGCAAGGAAGGTGCGGAATTGAATACGGGCCAAAAAACAATGACGTATTCGCCTTATGACTCAAATAGGTTGAAATCACAGAGTCCTTGCCTCTAGACTGGACTGACTCGTGACTTTCGAATATAGTTGATGTGTAGGTAGGATTGCGTGTAAACGGACCGTATCCTGCCCGTTGATCAGAATGCAAGCTTGCGACGAAATAACTGTGAGGGCATGGGAGATCTATTCGGTTTCATCTATCTCCAAGAATTAAGCCTCATCTGTGTTCTAAGAAAACCAGAAAAGATAGGCATCCCAAAAATATTGGAAAGAGAAGATCTTATTCCCATGACTCCGCAAAATGAAATTAGCTTCATGACATTAGCCCCATGATGTATCTAGTTGATGTTGCCGCTAGTCAAAGTTACGAACAGCGTGGATTAACGCCTGTCGCAAAGAACAAGAAGAAAGATTCTACAACCATCACAATATCCTATTTTTACTAAGACTTTTGGTCTCCGGTCAATTAGCGTTCTCGATAACATCGATGAGAGCAATGAGGTCATTTCTATCGGCTCCGACAACTTCGATATTCATGTCAAACTACACTAACACCTTAATACAGAGGATGGATAGATCGTCACAACGATTCTCACGTCTGAGATCAGACATGTTATCCTGTCAGTGAAGAACCCCACTGTATCCAAAGGCAACAAGATCGGATTTGAAAATCCGAAACAGCAATCGATAGAACTCATGAGTACAATGAACGCAAAACCGAGCTATAAAATGTTGCACTGCAAAAAGTGAGGAGACCAGTAAACCATAGTTATTACACAGCCCGTCTGCATCGCGAAAGAACTCAAGGCAATGGACCATACCCATATGATTACGAAACTTATTGGAATATCACGAGCCATCACATCTATTTCAATTGTGCTTGTTGAGACAGAATCGCTCATTGTTCAATATAACAGCACTGCGAAAATTGCGAAAATTAGCTAAATAATATGAAAACCGTTGAACAGAAGTTGTCTGTCAGCAACCGTATTCCACAGAATGTCAGATACATAACAGGAAAATGTCCACCAAACTTTGTTTTCTACGAAGAGTCGGAGAAATATGCTGTCGTTGTTGATAATCAGGTGTACGCTAACTTGGCCTTGTGTGTCACAGAGACGATCTTACCATAACTTGACAAAAAACACTGAAAAATAATTTCGAAAGCATGTATGAAAACACGGTACCTTGCAGTCTTCCACAGTATTCATCCAATAACGCTGAAAGCCTGTCCAGATCGCGCTCATAACGGGCAATAAAAATGCGCCTGAAAATACAAAGGTTTTTTATTTTTATTTATTTCTATTCTAGGGCAAAGATTTTTGGAAATATAAGAAAAACAAAAAGCGAAATGGTAATAATAATTATAGTAAGCAGAAAATAAAAGGTTAGCATTGTGATTTCGACTACAGGCTCAGCTTAACTGGGTTCAACGCCTATTTGTGCTCCCAGATCAATCTCGGTGACGGGTAAATGCAAATGGCAGCAATATAGAACCAGCTCAGAGAAATGCAAAGCAAGGGCCTCCGTCTCCGTGGTGCTGTGTGTAATATGCGAACCTCTGGAAAGGATAATCACGGTTTGATCTGATCTGGGGTCGAAGTTTTGCGAATATCTCACCATCGTTGTGGAAATGGTAATTGTTTCGCTATATAATTCAGCTTTGCTCGCACTAAGTTACTAGTCGCAACGAAGTATTGCACCTTATCTATAAGCGAATGCTCAGCTGTAGATGTGTATTAACACATAACTCTGTGCACTTACTTAGTTTCTTTTAAGTGCCACAGTGCTCCAGGCATGACACTTAGGACACGTGAGTTCGTTTTAAATTGCTCTTCATGCATGCCGAACCATCGTCTCAGCTCACCACGAGTATTAAGAGGATGGCTGGAAAACGACTCTTCAATCCACCAATTAGAACGGGTGGAAAATCATTTCAAATGACTTTACCAGCGCAAAATATAGAAATATAGTAAATAACACTAATCTGGTACTTGTTATTATGGTAGATACAAACTAACAATCGATAAGCAATGTAGTCTATAAATGGATCAGTTCCAAGGTAATCCTGTTCTTCAAGTTTTGTTGCAAGCGAAGACCACTTTGCAATCTCCTTAAGCAAAAAGACTACACTACATTCAATTCTACCTGAAATGAAAAATCGCAGTGACGCTAGCTGAAACAACAATCTCCGTACCAATAGATTTTAAAGAAAATTCTTCGCCTCTCTATCTCATACTCCAAGTGACAGTTTTTTCACCACTAAAAGAACTGATTTCAATAAAGCTACCTTCTCTGTGTTGGCAATTCTTTTTTTAACCTCGTCTTCCAGATCTGACCTAACGACACCCTGAAATTTAGAGTAATAGACTAGGCAATCAGCAAGGATTGGACCTGACCATACCTCACCGCGTACGTTCGCTCGGTAGTTTTCGTAAAAACAATTCTCTTGATGAGCAGAAGTGGTGCAGAACTGGACAGAAAAACTATAGTTACAGAAAAAAATTACAAAAAAGTTTCAAAACATACGCCTTCGACTGTTTGGGGATAAAGGACGTCCATAGGATATTTCAGAAACGTGTCGAAGGTCTCTACGTTGTTCTGAATTAAAAAATTCATTGCTTCGACATTGTCGACATGTCCATAGAAGACCTCCACATATTTAAATGAATCGCAACACAATGTGCGAACAAAGTACAGTGGTTGCTTGAAAAATTTTAGCACTTTAGTGCTTCTAGGAACTTTGAAGGAATAAGAACAACAATGTTAAAAACGAGGCAGTGACGATGTGCAAGCGAGCTCATGCATGAATAAGTATTGTTGGAGGTATTACAAATATTGAGGATAATTTAAAACAATATGTTCGAATTACTTTGATACTAAAATTTCTATTATCTTGACTTTAAGCACGTACGCTATTAATATCTTCAGAATGAGTAGGTTGAATTTCCTTGTGAATACTAGCGTGCAGTGCTCTTTTCTTCCTTGGGAATCGTTTTAAGTTCGAATTACCCTCTCGCAACAACGACTGTCTGAAATCACCATTAAAGTCGTAGTAACTGTATATAGCTGCAAGACATCTGGACTCAAGTTTCTTCTCCAAAGTCGGTACATCAAGTACTAAAACCTTAGTCATTTCTCAAGGTGCCGCATATCACAGCGCGAAAAGTGAAATTTCTCAAGTGATTATAATGACAGGTGATTGCTGATGGCACTGGTCGATAGAAAACTAGCTGAGAGACGGAGGAAATGAAGGACCTGCAAAATGTGGACGGTGAACGCGCTAGCCACCGGAAAGGTTAATAGCGCGTTCGCTCCCCACCTTAAACACCTGGAGTCCAGAGTTTTGCAAATATCTCAGCATCACTGCGTGGTTCATTGTGTTTGTACCACACATAATACCCTGACGTAAAAAATTGCAATAGACACAAATAAAAAGTTACCGCTGGGATTTCTCAATGAGAGAAATTTTTTCGTATCTACACTAAGGATAACTAACGTGAGCTTCCGGCGAGCGGCTCGGCTTAAGTTTCTCTCGGTTTCCTCCACCTCAATTACATCAGATATAACACCATCACCTGCTAAACAGTGCAAGTAGACATTTCCACCAATGAAAAATCTAGAGAAAAGATAGTGTCTAGGCTATTTCCTCAAACGAAAGAAACCACCAGAGTAATTTGGATGCTCGCAAAGAATTTTGTATTAGGAAAACTATGAAGAAATAACTGGAGTGTTATTCCCATGACCGACTTTCTGTTAACCTCGGCATTAATTGATAATTCAATGTTTTTCATCAATAAGCAGACACGAGGTTGTTAATATAGAATTTATTAGAACACAATTGCTGACGTTTCGGCGGTTTCGCCTTCTTCAGAGCCGTTTATTTGTTGTAAGTATTTAAGTTAGTTGGTGGATAGCCGCCGCACAGAGTAATACATGGTCGACTTACAACAAATAAACGGCTCTGAAGAAGGCGAAACCGCCGAAACGTCAGCAATTGTGTTCTAATAAATTCTATATTAACAACCTCGTGTCTGCTTATTGATGAAAAACATTGAATTATCAATTAATGCCGAGGTTAACAGAAAGTCGGTCANCTCTGTGCGGCGGCTATCCACCAACTAACTTAAATACTTACAACAAATAAACGGCTCTGAAGAAGGCGAAACCGCCGAAACGTCAGCAATTGTGTTCTAATAAATTCTATATTAACAACCTCGTGTCTGCTTATTGATGAAAAACATTGAACTGGAGTGTTACTTCGTAAATTTATACCTATCTTTAACCATCTGAAATGGTGACAAATTCTTTCTACAACGGCGTTGCTGAGGATAAAAACATTTAAAAAATTCAAACGAATAAATACAGTCCACTCTGATGATTTTATGGTGTTTTGTTAATAACATGAATGAGAAAACACAGACTAATCAAGTAATGAACGTTACTAACTTGTCCGTCCTTCGAATAAAGGCAATAGTAAAGCTACAACGTTATGTTTTTTATTTACTGCCTATTACAATTTTTCACGGTAGGTTATTATGTGTCCCCAAATCAATGCCGTTGACGGGTTATTGCTCATGGCCTGACCAATAGAACTAGCTAAACGAAGGACCCGCCTGGTGTGGTGATGAACGCGTTAGCCTCCGGAGAGGGTAATAGCGCGTTCGTTTCCAACCACAAACACCTGCGGTTCGGAGTTTTGGAAACATCTCAGCATTATTATAGTAAAGCTACATTCAAATAGGTTAAATTGGAAGGGCGCGTGTGGCGTAGTGGCCGGAGGCGTCCTGCAACACACGCGTGGAATTGATCTCCACTCCCATGGCCCAGCAAACCTTCCATCCTTCCGGAAAAGCAAATTGGTACCGAATTTATCTGGGAGGATAGCAGTACTGGCCCGATGTATCGGTAGGCTCCGCTAGTCATTGTAAGGGCTGGATGTGCATTGGATGACCTCCAAACGTGCTTAATGAAGTCGAGTGCATGGTGCAAGCTTTATCCTTTTATTTTTTAGATTAAAATTCGATAACTAGATTAATAAATAATAAAACAATGAGCAAGATAAACGACAATCTGAGATGGAATCTGATAAACATACCATAGGTGGTCACTGATTCGTCGGTACATCGCTGTTCTATATTTTCCACTTGGCTGTGTTCGATCTCTAGCTGGAACGTCAGCGATGTTGTACTCTTCACTCGTTTACGAGTTTCTTTATCTCTTTTTCTACCCTTAATTGAAAAGATTCCTTTCAATTTAGGAAGCAAAACCCTCTCCGCCTTAACGAGTAAGACCGTTCCAAAACTTCGGCGAAGTCTCTATTAAAATAAAATTAATTTAGTAACAATATTAAGCATATAATGCCAAATAGAGAAACATTTGCTAAAATACTGTTTAAAGCAATGAAAGGTTCGTAGACATCACAGATTGTGTGCAAAGATTAGAGCGTGTGTAGCACAGTAGTTAGAGGCACACTGCAAGACACGTGGGTTCGATCTCGTGCCCAGACTTCACCGAACATTCCACAGCTTTGGAGTCGGAAAATTGCTATCAAACTTATCTAGAAGGATAGCAGCACTGACCGGATAGATTGATAGAGCACCGCGAGTCACACTGTGTAAGCCACATATGCTCACGTCTAACGATGGTCAGTGATGTCGAATGCATGACTCATCCCTCAGGAAGTGATCAACGCCGAGAGCTTTATTTCCAACCTTTAATGGAATACAAATGCCTTGAACGGTGATCGTCGAAATTGCAAGCAATTATAAAATGTACCGACGACACCTTGGAGCGACAGGAGGCTTAACGAAGACAAAAGCGACAATATACCTACGCTAAGAAGAAGCTGAATTAAGATAAGATGCTCTTTTGCCTTTCATATGCGCGATTGACTCATGTTTTTTAGCAAATCATAAAGATCTGTCTTCTTATTTCCTCACTGGTTTGTTAAATACTGGTCTCGTGTGCTAAGCTGACCTATATCATCACCACAGAAGAAAAGTCTACAGCTTTGGAACTTGGGCTCTCCACTACGGCACGTCTTCCGAAATTACACGATAGAAAAATCGAGGATTAGGTAATATGCATACTTAAACATATACCTCGGCACGTCGCTTCCTACTTTCCACAACATTATGTTTAGAGAAATCCAGACCAGCCAGGATATCTTTCGAAGATCCTGTATTATTATTCGCATTCTAAAGAAAGAAAATATTTATGAATTATACTTTTCCAAGAACAGCGACAAAAATCACCTCTTCGAGAGAATTTTTTGACTTTCTAACAGTCCTAGGAAGCTTCTTGGGTTTTGTTCTTAAAAAGAAGAAACCGTAATAAATGAAACGAACTCGAATTCAATGGTGCAAAAAATTTTTTCTGGAAAAAATGAGTTAGACATACGCTCTTCCCGGTGAGATGTTTATCGACGATCCATCCATCTCTACGTTCATACCATCGCCGCACGGTTGGGCCTTCATTCTGGATCTCCTTATCTATAAAAGAAAGCGTAATTATTTATCAAAACTAGCAAAAGCAGAGCTTTTCAAATCTCAGTCGTTATTTTTTCCCGAATCTCTGCACCTCCACCGCATTATGGTGCTCAATAAATTCTACTGCCATTTACAATATTGGTCATTGAGGCCGGAGAAAGCCTATAGAGAAAAAAAATCAGAAGGCTAGATAGTATATCAGCCCCTATTCGTGTTCTTTTTTATCTACCTCGCAACTCTCAATTACGAATTAGAGGATTAAATATGCTTCTCGACTAAATTTAATGAAGATTGGAACAACATACTGCCTCCTCTAATTAAGATTCAGTAGTTCATTGCGGTCATCTCTGGATCTAGTCATAATGCTAGGAAATTGGGAGTGCTCTTCCAACCAAGTGTGCATGTAGTACTGGAATCTGTGCTTCCCATAAGAACGCCGTTTTTTAAGGTTTACTAATTTTCTAAATATACCATCAAAATCGGCATGTATTCTTTCTTCTGGCCAGTGTTTTCATTTGCAAGATTTTGTCTTGCGAACGAAGCAAAGGTAATGTAGCCGGTTGATAGCACATCGCCCTCACTTCCATGTTTACCCATACTAGTGTTGCCATGACATTTTCAAGAAGACAATAAAATAGTTTAGGCGAAACAGAACATCATTGTTGAATCCTTTTGCTTATGTTGATAATGGAGACATCATATAAGGACGAAGTTCAGATTCGTAAAATGCTTCCAGTACTTCTTATCACTGAAAATATCAGCTACCGTTCTTAAGACCTTTCGAGGGTTTACTCGCTCTCATGGCCATTCTTCACCCAACATACTGTTAACCCCACTAAGCATAAATTGAACACTAAGCTAGTGATTGCAGACACGGTAGGCGATAATTATTGATGTCAACTAGGCATTCCTTCTTGTGCAACAGCACAGCCACGATAGTTTTCAACTAACTATAAACCTTGCTTGCACGAGGTTGATAAATATATTTATTTTCGGCTAACGTTTCGACGTCTTCGTCTTCCTCAGAGCCGATGATCCGAGTCGATGGTCCATGATTGTTGTTCGTCTCGACGTTGCAGCTTCGCCTTCGTGTCGAGTTAAGTCTTCCTTAGTGAGTCATCTTCTCGAATGAGACATCCTCACTCAATGATGTTCTTTTATACACGATGCTGATGGTAGATATATAATGATAGTGTCCGGTGGTAACAACTTGTGTTTTTTCCGAGCAAACATCATTGCGCACATCGTGCAGAAGTCGGAGTCGGTATCAGCTAGCACAAAGCGTAGTAATAATATTTCGAAACCGACTTTCTCTAAACTTCGGTGTCGGTGTCAATATGTCTTCTTTCTTGATAAGCTTGCACGAGGTTGTTAAATATGATCCGAGTCCGAGCTGATAAAAACACCGACTTCTGCACGATGTGCGCAATGATGTACGCCCGGAAGAAACACAAGTTGTTACCACCGGAAACTATCATTATATATCCACCATCAGCATCGTGTATAAAAGAACATCATTGAGTGAGGATGCCTCATTCGAGAAGATGACTCACTAAGGAAGACTTAACTCGACACGAAGGCGAAGCTGCAACGTCGAGACGAACAACAATCATGGACCATCGACTCGGATCATCGGCTCTGAGGAAGACGAAGACGTCGAAACGTTAGCCGAAAATAAATATATTTATCAACCTCGTGCAAGCTTATCAAGAAAGAATACATATTGATTAATCACACCGAGGTTTAGAGAAAGTCGGTTTCGAAATATTATAAACCTTGCGTTCTGGCAAATAACTAATGAAATGTCGTCGCAGTGAGTTATCGATATCCGCCCACTATGATACTCAGGGCCGATCAAGTTTTGGATTGAATCTGGATCAAAAATCGTGAGCATATCTCCACCGTTGCTCTTGGTACACTGGCTGTTTCTTTGAATTTCAAGAGCACTAAACCTGACCTCGAAATTTGCGAAATTCATGTAGGTGGAGCGGATCTTCTTAGCTCCTCACCTTAATTTCTCAACTACACTCCGTACTGCCGCTCTTTGTCTGGTTTTGCGAGCTCTCACGCGCTTAGTATTTCCTTGGTAAATAATGCCATTTCCGACTTCTACAACTTTTTCTAGCATCTCAAATATAAGAAGAAATAATATCTCTTAAGAAAATACCGAGGAATTTTTTTGGCGCTACCACAGAAGCGACGGATCTCCCTCATATGCGGGGTCTCGAGCCGGTTAGTCGCGAGGCTACGTGGCGCGTCCCCAGGTGGCGGATAGGTGACCAATCGCGGACCAAAAGCGACAATTGCTTCCTTGAGACGCAGATGGATCCAGGGGATAAACTCCCTGTTTCTGCTGCTTTGATTTGGCACATACTTTCTGTATTTGCTAGGCGTATTCATGCATGCGTGGGCGGAGCGTTCCTGCTTATGCGGATTGTATTCTCCGAGTCAATTCGGCCAATAGCCTTCAATCAAGTAAATGGAAAGTATATGGGAGGCGTCGCCTCCAACAAATAAGCTCCATGTCCACTCTGGGAGAGCCTGGCAAGCTACCCGTGCGTATAACCAGTCCCACGTTCAGAGCCCAGCAAGCTATACGTGGGTATCAAAAATGCTAAACGCAGTAAAAAAAAAACGAGCCCCACTCACCTAACCCCGAGAAAGCCCCCAATTTTGCAGCGTTAAGTAGGATGAGAACGGAGGGGCTCCTAAAATCTCAGGGCCAATTGAAACTGCCTGGACCTCAAAGAACTATGGTGACGATCCGTATCTACGATGCACGTACACATACATCCGAGTCCTCGATAGAAGACTAGCTCATCCGAGCAAAAAGGATAAGGTACGACGTCATCGGTCTGGTCGAAACGAAAAGACGCCAGCCTTTCAACGCCGTCTATGACACTGGAGAAGAACTGTTCCTCGGAACATGCGACAGTAGAGGAGTCGGCGACGTCGGCGTTCTCCTCAACACAAGTTTGTCCATGAACACCGAATCATTCGAACAACTTACAAGACGAGTCGGACGTTTACAATTATGACATGAATCAATTCTGGCTTTGACAATCTTCATCGTTTACGCGCCGACGTCAAGCTATGACGAAGAAGAAGTAGAAGCGTTCTATAAGGACTTGGAGAAGTTCTACAAAGAAGACCACACTTTCTTCAAGGTCATCATTGGAGATCTAAACGCCAACATTGGACGAAGAAGAACGTCTGAAGAACCTCACATTGGGACCCACGGATTAGAATGGAACGAACAGGGTGAGTGGCTATCTGAGTTTATCATGGCTACTCGCAATTCCAGAAGCTCCACCCTCAACTCTGGACGTGGAAGTGTCCCAATGAAGAGTACCATAGCGGAATGGACCACATCATAATAAATAGAAGGTGTTGCCTAACCCATGTCGCTGTTGCCCCAAAATTCTACACGGAATCAGACCATCGTCTCCTTCGTGCAAGATTCTATTTATCGCGGAAAGGAGAAAAAGCCGCTAAATTCAAAAGCTGAAGTCCTAAAACCACCACAAACTGGGATTTATTCAATTCATTAGTCGGCTGTTGGGAAGACGCTGTTGTCGATAACACCGACGAAAAACACGATCGACCCATTCAACACCTTCACGTTAGTGCTATGAAAGCTCAGAGTTCGAAAGTCATCAAGAGACGTCTCTCTCCAGAAACACACGAGCTGATACGCCAGGGTGGAATCGCATGAGCTGCAGGCACCCGCGAACTGACGACCGAACTTGCAAAACAATGCAGAGAGGCGAAAAAAGAAGATCTTAGAGAGAGAAGAGCAGCAGTAATGGTCGAAGCTGCAGAACCTGTGAAAACCATTTGCAAAGCCCACCGAAGCTTTGACAATTACAAGACCAAGATGATTCCACTCTAACGCCGAGACGTAACAGTTATAGCGTCCAATAAGGCAATGGAGAAAATCATTCACGAATACTACTAAGATCTCTTCGATAGCCACGTCTACCTTCCGTCATATGAAATAAAGAATGGATATGTTGTACCACCGGTTCTCCCTTCCGAAATCCGACATGCCATTTCATCGGTGAAAAATCGAACAGCACCAGGTCCAGAGAGGATAAGACCAGAACACACGTGGGGTCACAAGCAAAACACACCCAAGGGCTTTTTGGTTCACTTTTGGATTTTTTTGGAAAGGCGAATGCCGGACTATCAAACGCGACCTGGCGCCTTATTTCAAAATAATATTTTGACCCCTGGATTTGTCACGCTCGCGACCCCACATGAACAACGCGTAGACCAGTCCCACTCGTAACATCATGGTTTTCTGTTCAATATGGCGTATATTTAAAAATCTGATCTTCAATTAATACTTTAGCCTATTCTAACGAATAACTAAAGCGTTCTTGTATAAAATACGTCCAGGTTCTGAGGAAAGCGAAATCGCCGAAACGTCAAACATCGACCAACAACACCAACACAAACGGCAACAACAACGACAGCAACAACTAAGACCCATGCCAACCTCGCATCTGCTTAAGAAGATCAGTTTCTAAGATCATATAAATAAATACTAATGATGTTCGATGTGTAATCAAGGTGTACTGCAGCGGAGGCGTTGAACCTTATTTAATCTATCAAAGTTTAGAAAGTTAGGACGCTCCCGCTTGAAAACTATACAGGTTTTAGAGTCTTAAAAAGTCCCAGTGTAATATGTAAACTAATTTCCAGACAGGTGAGCATTGTTCACACATAATCCTTAGATTGAACACTGATATACTTATTCTACTAAAGAAAACGGGTCAGTGTTCATTTAGAACGAGTTTGTGAGTCTTAATGGAACTCAAGAATCTTAGAAGCTGCACTGCGTTAAATAAAATAATTTTAGAACACTGACCGCCGTGATAGACAGAGGCTCATAATTCGATAATACACCATTGACAGGGTGCTGCCAACAAAGCAGGATTTCGATAAATACGAAGTGTACTAAGTTCATACTATCTGGTAAAGATGTAACCGTACTTTATGGCATGGTGCAATTCCCTCAACCCAACAACAAAAACTTTTGTATGGAAGCACGGTCCTTCACTAATATTTCGAAAATAACTTAAGTGGATACTTAGATTCTTAGCTGACCCATTCATGGTTGTGTAGGCCTCAGGATAATTTCTATTTTTTCGCAGTTTCGTTGGTTTAGATGCTGTAGTATCCTGGAGTCCCCAGGTCAGTCTAGCCAGAGATCTGCACCAGGTCGTCACCACCCGCCACAAGCTGTGCCACCCTTGTGAACCAGGGGCAGATTTGCCATCATGCGACTAGTTTGGTACCAGGGCGGTGGTGGATTCTTTTATTGGTTTACTTCTAGCTGGGCTACCTGATGACAACGCCAAACACCTTCTCTTCTCAGCTTGGGAGGTCCTAGTTAGGAATGAATCCCCCACTGTACATCGCAATCCAACACCCAAGAACACCTCCCAACCACGAAAAAGCGGTAAACCGTTGGAAGGTCTTGTTACATTACTGATTCGTATTCACAGTTACGAACCTTTGATCACATATCAATTATTCCATGCATGGAAATGAAGAGGAAGGGAGACAAAATATGAAAATTTTTAAAATGAATAGTAAGTGTGTAAAAAAATTCGACATACCTTAGGTTTTATCCAGGGAGACTTAACTGGATCAATGGGCTTCGCGAGACTGCCTTCGTTGTTCATCTGAGTGTAAGTGAACATCTCAGTTATAACAAACGTTGTCTAACACCTGACAACAAAAAGCAAAAAATCCATTAACAAAAAAGATTCATCACACATACTCCATTTTTTTGGAAAACGGAGCTCCTACGTGTAGAACCCGCTAATTTTTTCGCCCTGGTTTTCTCTGTCGCACGTTTCAACTTTCTGTTCTGAAAAATCGAAGCTGTCAAATACTGTTTGGTTAGCTGTGATATCGTCTTCAACGATACCAATCCTTTCTTCAAATTTCTTTTTAAAAAGCAAACCTCGTTCGTGCCAGTTCCTATACCTGAGGCCAATTCATTTTCCGTCGTCAATTCGACTTGTGCTTGGTTGTCCTAAAAAGCCGTAGTGTTGAAAGACTTTGTACCTTCAAAGTATACAAAGGCACGTCATTCGCCCACACACATAGGTTTCTCAACGGCAAACAGCAATGCCTTGAATGAATATGAAAGTATCGTCCCACCTTTCTCGAAAAACGAACAATTGGTGGACGACGAGGTAATCTCTGTTTTGAAGTTATATTTGAACCACTAGCTTCCAACTCATGAACCTTCGCTCGCGAACGTATTATATTAGTTTTCAACGACGACGGCTGGAAATAAGTTTCTGTTGAAGCAAACAAAACTGATTAGCAAAAGGCATTAGAATAAAATAGACGATTTGAGCTTTCAATATTTTATCTAAGAAACCTTTTAAGACAACTCTCCACATGATTTCCACATGGTGAATAGAAAATCATGCTTATTAGTAGTAAAAGAATAAAGCTCTCGGCGTTGATCAGTCGCTGAGGGATGAGCCATGCATTCGACTTCATTAAGTACCGTTTGGAGGTGATTGAATGCATATCTAACCTTTACAATGACTCGCGGTGGTCTACCGATATATCGAGCCAGTGCGGCTATCCTCCAAGAAAAGTCTGGTACCAATTTCCCTACCCAGGAGAGATGGAAGGCTTGATGGGCCGTGGGCGCGAGGATCAATTACACGTGTGCGTCGCAGGACACCTCCGATCACTGGCGCCACTCTCTTCCTTCTCATTGGTAGTACTTACGAAATATCCTTTTATTCCTTATTAAAATTCCATGTATACATGATACAGAAGGAACAAAACGACAACGCCAAATGAGTGTTTTAAAGCAACAAAAATATTCTGGATAGATTTTAAAAGTAGATGGCAATAACTCTCTTACAAGACGTGACTTTGTTCGTTTGGAATCCTTTGGAACACTCTTCGGATACCCTTTCTCAGGTTCAACACCCAACGCACTGCTTTCTTCCGGGCTTCTGCTCTATAAGACAAAAGTCAAAGCATGCTAAGGAGAAGAAAGCTAAACAGCATACCTCTCTAAATTCTTCGGCTTCATCTTCAGCAATGAATAATCCATCGCCAAACTCGGAATCAGAGTTCATTCCTGATAAAACAGGACATTAAACAGCAATTATATGCAAGAAAACACGAAGGAAGTCCTTCAGTATCTGTGAGAAATAGCCATGTGTTAAACAGGTAATCTCTATTCATTTTCAGCAGACAGTTTTAATTCAACCCTCATGGAACATACTTATGCATAGAAGTCTACAAAGCGTTCAAATAGAGAAACATGTTTAAAAAGGGTAGTTCTATTTATGATGTAATCCATAGCAAACTTCAAGACTAACACAAACCTATTTTAAATACTATTCCCCCATACCATCTACAATTCCGTCAATCACTGAGTGTCACCTGTATCGACCTAAAATCAGTTAAACATTTCCCCATATCTATGCATGAGTTGAGGGCGCGTGTGGCGCAGTGGTTGGAGGTGCCACTGCGTCACACACGTGGAATCGATTGCGGCACCCATGGCACGCCAAGCCTTCCATCCCTCCGGCGTCGACAAATTGGTTACAGACTTGCCTAGGAGGATAGCAACACTGGCTCGATAAATCGGAAGGTCACTGCGAATCATTGTAAAGGCCAGATATGCATTCAATCACTTCTAACGATGCCTAACGAAGTCGATTGCATGGCCCATCCCTCAGGAATTGATCAACGCCGAGAGCTTTACCCTTTTATTTATGTGTGAGTTCGCATTAAAATAGTTCAAAATGGGTAGTCTAAAGTCTTGTGTTAGGTATAATATTTCCATGGCAGCTCTAGACATTTCCTTGAACCCAGCTTACGCTAAGAAGTTGTAAAAACGACTGGCAGAATCCTGAAATTACAGATTTGGTCCGTATCGATTCCCACAACTTTTCAGTCACTATATGCAGCAGATACCATCCGATTCTGCTGGGTTTTCTCGAACTTTCTAAATCCACTGGCAATCCACAATGAATTGTGATTCAATAGTCCGAGTTAGTCCGAGTCCGACTTAATACTTAACTCTCTGTCTCAGTTGAAATAGGTATAAACAAGAACAGATTGCGTGGCCCATAGAATACTCATAGAGCTAGTAGTTACGTGGATAAAATATGCAGAAAATGTTGGATTTAGGTGTTGGCGAACACCATTATGTTTGTTGCGCTAATCGCACTTTGCCCATTCGCAATTCCTCATTCATACACACAGGACGACGAATTAATACAAATAGCTGACACATTCTTATACCAACATGGCTCATCCATCTCGGAAATACTTTGGAACACTTCAAAGAGCGGTCTTATCTAAGAGAAAAAAAAGCTACGTGAGCACTTCACTCAAAGTGGGCTTTCTCATTCAACTACTACGGACGGAACTTTTTTTGTAACTATCGGACGTAATATAATATATGCACAAAGAAAAAAAAGTGAAAAGGATGAACGGGACAGAATACGATGAACGCGGCGTGCAGGACGTAGTTGCGTGCTGGTGTTGGGTCGGTCCCGCAACGAGGTGTGGGATGTTCGCGATGCTTTCATAGGTGTCGCTGGGATACAATATGTTGCAACTCGCTTGATGTAAGTATATTCATTTTGAAATTATTGTAGCCACTCAAGCTCATACTCGAATTATCGAGACATTGCCGCCAATTACCAAGAGATCCGCTCGGTCACAGGAAATCGTCGATACAGCCGATTCTAGGTTGCTGCACCAATTTACTCAGTATGATTAGGTTACCATACTAACGTGCACTAGCACTTTGACTGTCTAAGAGTGGTTGTATCGAAAATATGGGTCTCCCTTCATTGCTATGTTTCATATTGCCAAAATTAGAAGCCTAATCTCGTCGAAGGGTGATTGCCGATAGCACCTATAGGTAGGAGCATAATGTCAGGTTTAAAGGACGTGATAGGCTCTTATAAGTGTTATCGAAACAGGAGATGCCACAGTCGAATGTTCTGTTTCAAGGCACCAGGATACCAAACTTCTAGGTCAACTTTCTTGTCATATACGACAGATTCCACCGATAGACTTGCTGATGCTCATTTCGATTGCATTTGTCAGTTGGAGGCGTGAAAGGTAAACCATTGATATTTTGGAATAGGCTTGAGCACTTATTCACGATGTCGTTTTGACATACTTGATGAATTGATCACATGCCATTTTCATAGTGCGGTCTCGAGTTAAGCCACCATGTTTACACGCACTTGAATACTTGGATGCGTGAATAACCCGTTTTCAACAGGTTGTGCTGGCCCAACATAATTTTTATTCTTTTTTCAGAGTTTTGCTGGTTTAGCCACCGTGATTTTCTGGAATTCGAGGTCAACTTGGCCAAAGTCTGTCCTAGGTCGTCACAACCACAGGCACTCATCTCGTTTGTAGATCAGAGTGGGATTTTCGGTCACACGACTAGTTTTATACCAGGACGGTGGTGGGTCATGATATTGGTTTACTCTTGGGTGAGGATGGAACCGCCGGACTCCTTCTCAGCTTGGGAGGTCTCCCCGGGGTGGATAAAATCCCCACTGTACATCGCAGTCCGACACCCATGAACACCTCACAGCTACGATGAGGCGGTAAACCGTTGGGAGGACATATGAATATAATATCGTATATGTATATATATATATATATATATATATATATATATAACGATATTGGTGCAAGTCTTGCTACACTCATCGCTAGAGTGAATTAATACTGCTGAGAAGCCCAAGTTTCTTGCCTGTGTTTTCATTGGCAAGTGATTAGTTGAAATAACAATCAGGATAAAACAATTCGCTACAATGGAGAATATTTTTAACGATAATACTCTGCAATGCTCATTTTAGGCCTTTATCATTTTCACGATTCACCCTTACTTCGTAATTTTGGGGATATATTACTGTTCCCTCAGAGAAACCTTCTTTAGGTTTTTTAAGAAAACCGAAATTTTTTCTATTTATTTTATTCCACATTGGCCGCCGACATCACACCTACTGTGCGAGTTGCAGCACATCTTGCATCAGATTCGTTCTACGGGTACTTATCGTCCAAAAAAGGCTACCAACACTTCCCATGTTTTTTCGGCTGCTGCTTTAGGATCTCCCTTCTTTATGAATGTCGCAGGATGCCGGTCGAGTTGAATCTCCTTCCTTACTTGGAAATAGTCGAGTTAAGGCGCTCTCACGTGGATTGGGGAAAGCGTTTAGGAGGCTGTGGAACCAGCACCTAAAACTCTCTTTGACCGAAATTATTACTAGAGCTCGTGCATAATTCAAAGGCATCCTCTCATTCTTGTGACAGTGATCTTTTATTCTTAAGCGCCCATAACGTTGCTCCATAAATCACACGTTTCTTAAAGTCTTCATAAGCTTGCTTCCTCATTCCACAAAACTTTTAGAAGAGTCATTTACAGCTATTCTCAGATGTCAGTAATCATCTTGCCGTCCTTCGCCCTCCAGACGCCGTAACGTTAGACGTTACTAGCCGTTCTTCTTTTTTCGGGTTGCACAATGTCACTTTAGTAGATGGTTCATGGATTTGCATTTGAGTTGATCGTTGCCGCACATCGGCGATTTGTGGATTCTAGTTATTATTATAAAAAATGTATTGCATCATCCATCGAGAGATCAGCGTGTCTCAAATCTCGCTATCTATTTCTTTTCGAGTTTATTTGTGTTCGTTGTCAAGTCACGGTGTCTTCTTCCCGGTCGAATGAACAGTTCACTTTGTCCGACCGCTGTGATCAGTACTCGGCCAATTCATTCTTATAAATTTTTGTTGAGATTACAGTGAGTACAAGACTAAGGAGAACGAAAAGTCATAGTTCTGAACATGCTTGCGTGCAAGTTTCCTTCTGCTGCACACTAGGATCGTTCCGTTGCATGCTCATATTGGAGGTATTTTCATTTTGTGGAATAAGGCCTAGACAGAGAACCTAGTCATTTTATGCTATCATCGCTTTGTTTTCCAGATATACAGTGTTTAAAAAAGAGTTTTCAAAACATCAGCAACATCCGCTTGAAGGCTAGAAGATGGAATAAGGTGTGTACAGTTTTGTTTGCTTTTGTATGCGACGTCTACCTTCCATGAGTTTACGAAGAAATCATGAATTTATCCTGGTTCTTTATCGCTGAACAAAGTTCCTCAACTACTTGTGTTCACAACGCCACTGATTATAGATGTTGACTCATGGATAGTTTTCTTTAGGTTAATCTCTCAGTAATCGGAAGAACACTTTCTACTATGTCACATCTTATCAGCTGGCACACCGGAGTTTATTTATAGAGGCGATTTTGAACTGTTACTACGGTCTGTCTAAGTAGATATAATTCGCTTTTCCACTTTTTTTTTCACATAACTCGTCTTCACAGCTTTTGTGCCTATCCCACCACTATTTATTCAATTCATTTCCCAGCCTACATCATACACTAGGCATATCATACTTTTAACTTGATGCATTTGCATTCAGTTGCTGCTTAAGAATTGTTGTCTTCCTTATGAGTATTGTCGAATAATGTTCGAGTTGATTCTTCCTGGAGTCTCTGGATAGCCATGATAGAGCGTTGCAATGCTCAACGAAAAAAGTTATTTGGTCCGAAACAGGTCTGATACCGATCTCCGACCTTAAAAGAATGGGAAGCTTGGTGAGCTAGCTGTGAGTTCCTGCCAGCACCTTGCTCATAACGATCGGTGTCATTACCACCATGCTACCGCTCCTGATATAGTTATTTAAGAGATTTCTTATTTGTGTGATAAACATAGAAATGAACAAAGCATCTTTAGCTAAAGCGAGTTCCTCAGGATCCCTTAGACATTTTATCCATATATTTATTTATATGATATCAACTATCTATGCCGAGGTTTATAGAAAGTCGGTCTTTCGAGCTATTCTATCCATTAATTGCTTATGAAACCTTGAAAAAGCTCTGAAATTCGGTTCAGTGGAAGGATTCTACCCTCAACATCTCATTATCGAGACGATAATCACGTGCACATAGATAGTTGCTTTAGGATAACCTCTTCCAGGGATATCCCAAATTCCCTCTACTTCAGACTACAATGCGGACTCGAAATTAAAATATACTAATGAACGATTAGAGTTTATTGGTGAAGAATTTAAACAACAAAAAGAATCTTTTGTAAACGCGAAAGCAGTAACCACTTGTTTAAGGATCGCCCTCATTCGCACTAGGCAAGTTTTCACTCTGGTCATCGTGAAGATCCGGGTCGTATTCGTCCTCTTCAACTGAAACGAATCCAAATAAAGTTTATCTTTTAAATAGATGTAGACTTTTAATAAACACCGGCTCTTCTTCAATCACGCGACTTCATTTTAACCTATTAACTTAAGTTCGCTGTATAGATCATAGTGGTTCAGCAATGTGAGTTTTGCTAAATAACGATTATTCTGTTACAAAACATAAGCATTCATTGAAGCTTTCCCCATAGTGCAGTGTGGTATATTCGTAGTCAGCGTGTAATCAGTTATAAGAGGCAATCAATATGTACTAATCCCATACAGAGACCATATTTCAGGTGTCTGCAGTGGTGAACAAACGCGTTATTGTCCTTTCCGGGGAATAACGCGTTCACCACCACACCGTGCCCGTTGACGGGTGATTGCTGATGGCTGTGATCGATAGAACTAGCTGAGAGACAGGCAGAACGAAGGACCCGCATGGTGTGGTGGTGAACACGTTACTCCCCGGAAAGGAAAGGACAACAGCGGGTTCGTTTCCCACCGCAGACGCCTGCGGTCCGGAGTTTTGCAAATATCTCAGCATTATAAAAGTTATGTTTCCAGTTCTCATTTACTTTTAAGTATTGAATCTTTATGCTTTTACAATTTTCCAAAATGGGCAAAATTTTAGCATTGGAGCACAATAAAGCCTTTATAGTGGAAATACAAGAAGCTGTATATTGCTAGAGCCATAGAGGAGTAGGTTACACAAAAATCGCACCGCTATTCCTGTTTAATGCGCAAGAAAAGTATAAAGGATAATTCTCTCGGCGTTGCTCAACCCTGAGGCATGCTCATTGCATTCGACCTTATTAAGCATCGATGGAAGTGACTGAATGCATATCTGGCCTTTACAATGACTCGCGGAGGTCTACCGATATAACAAGTTAGTTCTGCCCTTCTTCCAGACACGTTTGGCGCTTATTTTCCTACCCCGGTGGGATACAAGGTTTGGTGAGCCATGGGCGCGGAAATGAATCCCCTGTGTATTTGCAGGGCGTGCATGAAAGGTAATACAGATAATTCTTGCTAGTTAGGATGCGTTGATTTCTTTGCTCTGGAGGAGTAGTGGACCACATGGGTAATAAAAAAAAAACTCGTACTACACGTAGACTGTAGTGCCCTTGCAAAATGACTCGTCGAAGGCCCAACTAAATAAATATAGTGGTGAATAATACCTAGCGTCCTGCGCTTTCGATTGAATAATTCTCATCTAAATTTCTTTTTGATGATTCTTCTTCCCTTATCTCAAAATGCTGTTTCCTGTACATACGATTTCACTAAAACAATAACTGCGCTTTGCATCGCAGAAAGCATAGCATGTACTATAGAAAATCGAGTGGATCCACATAATCCATGCAAGGAAATTCTCTTCCCTTTTGCACCCTTTTCTTTTTTTCAGTTTTATACTTTTATGAGGCTATTCCGAGCGAGTTTTCAATTACGTTACTGCTTTCAGAATCTCAGAAACTACTAAAAAACTTACCAAGCATCCCTTTTTCGTCCAGCTCTGGCACAGGTCTCACGGTGTGCCGGCGTAAGCAACGGGTCTTCGTACTGTCGCGAAAAAACACACACGCTAGATGTAGCACGTTTGTCACATCTTTTGATCCATGCAGTTGCCAAATCTTTAAAATTACCTTTTAGTCATTTCGAGACCTTGTCGAGCAATAGAGCTCACTCAGTGGTAGAGCTCAACTATACTCTAGCAGAGAAACTCTGCATTACAGTTCGTGTAAAATTTGTGATCAAATAATCACATCAACGTTTTACCGCCTCATCGTGGCTGGTAGGTGTTCCTGGCTCGGGCTGCGATGTGCAGCTGGAGGATTAATCCCTATGGCATGGTCTCCCATGCCGAGAAGGAATAGGGCGTTTCCAACAGGAAGCCTAGCTAAGAGTAAACCAATACCGGCCGGAATTCACCACCGTCCTGTTATCAAAGTCGCATAGTGGCAAATCTCTCTCTGATCCACAAGGGCTGTGACTGCCCATGGTGGTGAAGACCTGAGGCAGACTTTGGCTAGGCTGACTTCGGGATTCCAGCGAACCACAATGGCTTTACCAGCAACTCTCCGAAAGATGGAGATTGTGCTGGAGCCCGCACATGCAGTGGGGACGGGCCGTTCAAGGATCAAGTAAGTATAATCATCACTCTAATGTTTTGCCTTTCACGAAAACGAAGGAGAACTTGTCGGCAAAGTGAATAGAAATCGGATGTGAATTTCCAGTAGTTTCATCAGCAAAATTTCCAACATACATTGTATTTTATTACTTAATTCTGCTAGCATAACTCACTCTCCTAATTGTCTTTGTTGAGAACTTCTCTGCTTTTACGGCAGCAGCAGCTTCGTCAGTGATCTTTAAATTCGAAATTCAACGGTGAAAGTTTAGAATATTAAGAAATCCTGGTGCGTTAGATAAAGTTCTTTCTTACTGAGGGATAAGAATCCCACCTCCAGCTGATAAATACTGTAGAGCCAAACGAGATCATCAGGAATTCTCGAGCACCTTCCGTTGAACGTCATAAAAATCGTTCGGACTTCTTGCGGTGCAAACATGCCTACCTTGAACATGAAAACCATTGATAATGGAAGTTATGCAAAGTGGTTTTGGTAAAACGAATTTTCTCTAGCTCAATAATGAAAATGTTGTCCTTGTCAGAAATGCTTTAGTGCGTTTAGATAATTGAAATTTGTCCGTAACATTGTTCTCCAGAAATACAACCACAATATTGTTGAGATATTTATTTATGTGATCTCATAAACTGATCTTCTTAAGCTGACGCGAGGTTGGTACAGATCTTCGTTGTCGTTATCGTTGTCCCGCACGTAACATCACGGCTCTGAGGAAGGCGAAGTCGCCGAAACGTCAGCCATCGTTCAATGACATCAAAAACAACGACAACGAAGATCTGTACCAACCTCGCGTCAGCTTAAGAAGATCAATTTATAAGATCACATAAATAAATATATCAACTATCTATGCCGAGGTTCATAGAAAGTCGGTCTTTCGAGTTATTGTTGAGATACTTGCAAAACTCCAGACTGCGGGTGTCTACGGTGGGGAACGAACACGCTATTGTCCTTTCCGGGTAGTAAAGATGCTAAGATGTAACTTCAATGGTGCTGAGACACATAATATACCCTGCCGTTGAAAAGAGTAGGCAGTAAATAATAAGTCAAAATTGTGATTATAACTACAACCTCAACTTAACTGGGCTCGTTGCCGATTTGAGCTCCCAGATCAATCCCGTTGACGGGTGATTGCCGACGGCTCTGATCGATAGAACTAGCAGAAAGACAGGCGGACAGGTGAAAACGAAGGACCCGCATGATGTGGTGATGAACGCGTTACGGCCCGGAAAGGACAATAGCGCGTTGATTCGTCACCGCTGACACCTTCGGTCTGGAGTTTTGCAAGTTTCTCAGCAATATTGTGATTGTACTTCGCTTAATACCCTGCCATAGAAATTATAGGAGACAGAAAATAAAAAAGTAAACAATGTTCTCCAGACTTTTTTGACTTTTTATCCTGCGAATATAAAACAGCTCAACTAATTTATGCACGGTAGAGTCGCCTTTCAAAAGATAGTCTTTTCTGAATTCTTATTAAAAACTTCAAGAGAACAAGAACATGCAAATGTCAACTTCGTACGGATGGTAAAAGGGTTCCGGAAAGAGGTTATTTTAAAACTGCTTGCTACTTTAATATCCTATTAATGTTTTGCAATCTATAACTTTTCATCTACTCTCTATTTTTCTTCAGAGCAGGATAAAGCTCTAAAAAAACTCTCGGCGTTAACCAATTCCTGAGGAATGCTCCGTGCATTCGTTAAGTATCGTTGGAGGTGAAAGAATGCATACCTGGCCTTTACAATGACTCGCGGTGGCCTACCGTTCTGTCGAGCCAGTGCTGCTCTCTTTCCAGACAGGTCGGCTACCAATTTGCCGACCCCGAAGGGATAGAAAGCTTGGTGGGCAATGGAAGCCGGGATCGATTCCTGGTGTGTCGCAGTGGCGCCTCCAACCACTGCGCCACACGCGCCCTCATAGCAGGATATTATGAGAAATGCAACAACGATGATGAAGAGATATTGACAAAACGCAGACCCTATGCCTGGTAAGAATCTGCGATTACTCTTTCTGAGGGCTCACATGTTAACCGCTGCATCATTGAGACCTCTGATTTGTCTTTCTCTTAGCCAGTTTTTTACCCTAACGGTACCATCAACAATCACTCATCAACGCGAATTAGGTAAAAAACTGGCTGAGAGGAAGGCAAAGAAAGCAAGGGCCTCAGTTAACGTGTGAGTCTCTAGAAAGGGTGATTGCGGATTTGAATGCACAATTGTTTAACGAGAGGATTACTGGTAGCTACTTAAATATCATCACAAACGATTGGAGAATTGGAAAATTTCTCATTGCACATTGGTCCTGTGCTATCTTTATTTTGTCAATTATGAGTAGTTAAGTAGAATCACGTGAAACATGCAACATGCAACATGCAAATGTATTTAGAGTGTCGGGGAACTGTACTTGTTTAAATGAAACACTTTCGAAAAAGTTTGCAAACAGTCCTGTTAAGGTACAACGGCTAAATTTTTTGTTTTTTATTTTTATTCGATCCGTCTTCATGCTTGCTGTGCGGGTCTTAGCGCTTCTCACATTCGATTAGTTTGCTCGCCCCCATTATCCACGAAGATCTACGTGTAGCTTCGGCAGCCGCTTAAGGATTCTCATTTCATCCTGAATGTCGTAGAATGCTGGTCGAGTCAATTCCTCCTGAAGTCCTGAGATAGACGGGCTGGAGCGTTCCCAGTTACATTGGAGAGGGCAATTTTTTCCAAACAAGTCCAGTAGCAATTTCTCAACCTCTGAGAGATGAGATGCTTGGCTATTCCGGAGCGGAATCGATTTAGCACCATCCGCTTGACAGCAGACATCACTAGCATCGTGCTATCTACTCTCATTATGTATATATATATATATATATATATACATATATATGCACCTTTAGAAATCAAGGGTAGAGTCTATTTTAAAGGTATATCAAGTCCTCAGTTCTTGATGTGCTCCACTTGTTGAGAAATTATTGGAAGTCTATTGAAACCAATAGCGTAGCGAATGTGTTAACCAGAAGCGACCTTTTCAAATTACTTATAAATTATTCGCAAAGAAGTTTTAGAATAAATTGCTAGAAAATTAGAAAAGAATACAAAAGAAGAAGAAGACAAGAAAACAATGGCTGCACCTTTGGTGTCATACCGAAGTGTGACGGTGGTGGACGCCGTACATTGAAGACAACGTGCTAAAATAATTCACTTTAATAAAATACAGAACAAAATTATTTGCAAAGCAGCAGACTTCAAGCAGTATTTATAAGTGTCCCAATATTCGACAGAGGCTTCCCATGAAGAAGTAGACGCTTTATTTTCTCGCGGATGAGTCGTCATTTGTTGATTCAGAAAGACTGAGGAACTTGCTGGGCTTAGAACCGATAACCAAATAGATGACAATGATCAAACAACTCTCGATGTGCTTAACTAGGAGCTTGTATTCTAAAACATCAGATTCACAAAGGTTGTAGGTCACTTCTAGTGGGTAAGAGTGTCAACGTTAGGAAATGCGGACTAGTTCAAAATGTTTGTTTTTTTTTTCTTGGCAAACCTATTCAAGGGTTTCTGAGCGGAAGACTCTTGAGCACTTAGATCAACACCCACAACAAAACGGACAAAAAAGGAAGGTAACTGAATAACTTTTTAAGAAATCTAAACAACTAAGAATTAAAGAACTAAATTAGGAACCTTGTCTGAAATGTTCTTGAGTCGTAAGTGAAAGCATGATGTGTTGTCGTTTTCCAGTCCGTGAAACTCAATGTAACGTGAAGGAGCTCGAATGTGTGACGGAAAACTGTTTTGGTACTTTCTGTAAAGTATCAATACACATCTTTATGAAAATAGGCTCTCATAGTTCTTTGCACAGTTTTTCGTTTATGATTAAATAACATGAATGTGGATCCTGGTACTGGTTTACGCTTTTAGCCTAGAAGACCCTGTTAGAGGGATGAATCCCTCGCTGTAAATCGCAGCCCGATACCCAGGAGCACCTACCAGCCACAATGAGGCGGTAAAGCGCTGTGAGATATTATACATATATATTCTTTAAATGGCTCAATGGGGATATAAACTAACCTAACTTACATATAAGCTATTACACCTATTTACGGCAGATGGAAACCCGTAATAGTCATGAAGACCGATGATTCCCCATAACCCACACTTATTGAAAGATCAATATCATATCAATACTTTTCGTTGTTTTTATATTTCGTCAATAACCTATTAGAACTTAATGGATAACCTTTTCCTAAAATCAAAACAAAAATGCATTCTCAAGAAGGTTTCTCGAAAGTTTCGGTAATCAAAGCAACACACAGCAATTCTTCTTGAACGGAGGTGGCTTTCATTCGTATCCACGCAACTTCCTCATCGATTTGGTCGTTTGATTCTGAAAGTAGTCCCAATTATTGCAGCCACCCCGTAAAACAACTCTTAAGCACTTTTAAATTTTCGCTATTAAAAAATTCACGTCTACCAGATCTAGGAGTGGACCGAAAGCATGAATAGCGCAGCGGTAGTGATGCCGCTTAGCACGCAGATGAGCATAGATCAACGTGTTTCTTTCGAACAAAGCCTGCCATGAATTGGTGCCAGAGGCCTTTCTGGGAGCTCCTTCCACAAAACCTAGAAACTCTCCAGCACGGGAATCCCACATTTTTCGGGTGAACTCTACAAATCCATAAGCAGCGGCCGAACGCGTGCACGAATCATTCGCGGATGATGAATGTGACAAAAAGAAAACGAATAGGAAGGCAGGTGTGCTGGAATCCTCACAGTCAATACTTTGGCATCAAAGAGTTTAAAAAATAAACCAATAAATAAATATTATTTTTCAGTAATGAAGTGTACCTGCCAATAAGAAAAAATAGTATTCTTCTTACCATACCCATTTTAGATTCACGATATTTGTTCATGACGGCCATCTTCTGAAAACGGCAACAGTGAAATGGTCTTCGCATGAAAAGAAACAAGGATGAAGTATTCGGGATTGATCAATATCTTCCACACATAGTCCGTACCGTCAGTCCAGTAAGCAACGAAGATATCATTGGAGACAGGACCTCCCGATGTATCGAGCCAATGTTTTTATTGTCCCACATAAGTACCCATTTACCGACTGCGGAACCATGAAGAGCCTGGTTAGTTTCAACACTGAATCGTATCAACGACCTTGTATCTAGCAAATTCTAAGACCGACCTTCTTTTAACCTCCACAATAACCAATAAATAATTCACCGTTTTCCTTGATAAGTAAACACGAGGTTGTTATTACAGCATTTATTGATACACATTAACTGGTGATGCGCAGCTTTCGCCTTCTTCAGAGCTTGGAAAGGTCAAATTGACACAATGTGTACTCAGTGAAACATTTCCATAGCCTCGCAGGAAAAACCATGATACATAGCATGGCGCGTGTGGCGTAATGTTTAGAGTCGTCCCACAATACATATGAGTTCCATCCTGCGCCCTAGACTCACCAAACGTTCAATCCCTCCGGACTCGGCAAACACCTCTACCAAACCTCTCTCGGACGATAGCAGCACTGACTTAATATATCGGTAGGCAAGCAACTGCGAGTCATGGCAAAGCCAGATATGCAGCCTTTCACCTCTAACGATGTTTAATAAAGTTGAATACGTGGGGCATACCTCAGGGATTGACTAACGCCAAGAGCATTATCCTTTATGCTTGGCATAAACTTTTGTTCGAATAGTAAATAGCTTCTCTCTAAGAGACAAAATGCGTAGAGTTTTACATGGGCGATGAATGTGTATGGTTCAGGTCAAATAATCACTCTGGTGTATGGCGCTGAGTCACGTATGACCACAACGACTCCTACTTACGGTTAATTTTGCCCATATGTATGCTGCTGATCTCCACCAAACAATCGCATCACTTGCGACCAACAAAACGATGAGTTCTTTGCAAAACTTGGACCCCAGGCCAGATTGGAATTCGCAGTTACTCCTTCCAGGGGCCCACGTGTTACCCACTTCACAGCTGAGGCCCTTGCTTTGCCTTCCTTTCAATATTTTTTTTTGCAACGGTGCCATGAGCAGTCACACATCAACGGCAATAATATAGAGAGCACAAATCGGCAGTCGAAATCTTACTTGGTACTTGAATGGCCCGTCCTCACTGATTGTGCTAGCCTCAGCATAGTCTCCATTTTTTAGAGATTTGCTGGTTAAGGCATTGTGGTTCTCCAGAATCCCGAGGTCAGCCTGGCCAAAGTCTGTCTCAAGTCTTCACCACCACAGGCAGTCGCAGCCCTTGTGGATCAGAGGGAGATTTACCATCATGCGACGTTGATACCAGGGCGGTGGTGGATCGTGATACGGATGGCATTCGAAATCATAGCGTTTAATTTTCTATTTAGTATCTATTATTTCTTTCACGGAGAGGCATTATGTGATTATACTTCCGCTGAAGGGTGGTTGCTGATGGCACCGTTAGTGTAAAGAACTGACTGAGAGAAAGGCGAAGCAGGGTCCTTAGTGGTTGCGTAACATGTGATCGCCGGAAAGTGTAGTCACGGTATCGAGTCTGGTGCACGGTCCAATTTTTGCATATATCTCAGCGTCATTGTAGTTGTATCTCACATAACACCATGCCGTGTGTGAAATTTTAGACGCACAGTGTAAAGGCTAACAAAGCGGTGAATGTTGGAAAGAATCTGTTCATTATGCGAATGAAGATTTGTACACTCTTATATATCTGCGGAGGTTATGAAGGTGTTTGTCCGAGTACAATACATGTCAATTTGACCATTCCAGGCTCCGAAAGAGGTGAAACCGCCGAAACGTCAACTATTGCGTCATAATCAACCACAGTGGTGCTGAAATATTAGCAAAACTTAGGGCTGCAGGTGTCTGTAGTGGGGAACGAACGACTTTTACCCTTTTCGGGGACTAACGCGATCACCACTACACCATGCGGATTTTTCGTTTCGCCTATCTCTCAGCTAGTTCTATTGATCAACGCCATCAGCAATAACCAATCAACGAGATTGATATAGGGACCCACCGTCGAAAATAGCTCGTTCGTTCCCCCCGCAAACACCTACTGTCCCGAGTTTCGCAAATATTTCCGCATCATTGTGGTTGTTTCACACGTAATACCCTGTCATGAAAAAACTATAATAGGCAGTAAATAAAGAGTTAATATTGTGCCTTAATAAACACTGTAAAGACAACCTCGTGTCTGCTCATCAATAAAAACAATAGATCATGTGTGCATTGTAGGAAACCTTCCTTCACTGCACAATGCAGGCCCTGTCTGTGCACAACGTTTTGTTTTTGACGAGATGAAGTAATGCTCTTCAGCTCTACAAAAAATTCATTGATGAATTCTGAGTTGCCAGGTAAGGCACCACCTGAGGTTTTTGAATGCCTCTATTAAGATCTCTTCTCCTTCCCGGATTTATTGCTAGGTTCAGCTGACAAGTAGTTCTCCAGTTTTTGCAGATTAGACACAAGATCGCTCTAAAACATTCGATCACTGCTGTAAGAATACCACTGACCTCCTATTACTCATTCAGTCAAAATTTCGTCAAAGTTTCCACCACCTTATCTTTCATCAAAGAGTGAATGGCTTTGAGAAAAATCCTTGTTAGTCATCCACATTGCGAAGTAAGTACAACAATCATTCACAATGTTCACAGGAAATTACGAAATGTCACCTGCTCAAGTGGAAACATGAATCCGTGGGAACCATTAGGATCGCGTGTGTTCATAAAGTATTCGTTTCCCAATTGATGTTTAGAGTCTCAGCGCAAGTCCATCTCCTCTATTAAAGTTACATCGCATACCTACTTCGGTTATCAAAGTGAAAGGAGGAGGTTGTCACAGCGGTAGTAATGCCGTTCATCACGAGCACGGTGTCGGTTCACCTATTCAGCACCAGAGTCACCAAGCCTCTCAAACCATCGGGAAATGGCACCGGACTAGTCTGAGCCCAACTCAATCCCTCAATTCTGCGCAGTAACACTTTAGCACGGCTATCCCAGGACTCGACGGGAGTGTCGACTCGACCAGCATTCAACGACACTCACAACACAAAGTATACGCTCAAGCAGTAGCGGAACCCACACGCAAAAAACAAGCTCGAAGGTCTTCGTTGGTGATCTAAGTAGCGGTACCACACGCAAAGAAAGGCTCAGTCTTCGCTGGTGATTTACACGCGGAAAGAATCGAATGCACGAAGTGCTTGGATCTGCACAGAAGACATGAAGACGTATCGTATTGATAATTAATACAATGGAAACCTTATGCTTTTTCATTTCCAGATCGAGAAACAAAAAGTCGATTGTAGTTCGAAATGGGTCAGACTTCCATCCTCTCAAATTTGGGGCAAAACGATGATAAAACTCAGAACTCATTTTCCACCATATACTGGTTATATAAACAGTGATTTAATTACAAATCGCAGTTTCAAATCGTGTATGATTTTTAGAATCAGCACAGCAGCAGGTTAACTGAAATCGTGAAACTCGTACTATGTGCGATACGAGATCACTTTTAGTAGTCCGCACTTTACTGTAATATGAAGGCAAAGGTAGCGGATAGCACACTGGTAGTGGTGTAGGTCATCACAAACATAGTGCTAATTCGATTCCGCTGCGGGCCAACCAAGCCTCTCATCCGAACCGGGCTCATCGTGCGGTTCATGGCATCGTACTTATCCTGGGAAAGAGGATTCTCTGAAAGCCAATTGGAAACGCCCCAGCTCGGCTATCTCAGGACTTGAAGGTGAATCGACTCGACCAACATTCTACAACATTCAAGATGAAATGAAAATCTTTAAGCGGCTGTCGAACCGACACATAGATCCTCGTGGATAATGGAGGCGAGGAAACGAATCGAATGTGAGCAGTGCTGGAATCGGCACAGTAGACGTGAAGACAGGTCGCATAAAATAAAAAAAAAATAAAAATATGTAGGTACGTACCCATAACACAACACATAGCAACTCTTTTATAAATGCCACCGTTTAATCTCATATAAAACCTTTTGAGTCAGTGAAACGATTCTGAGCTATTTTAGAACGGTAGCGCATTCAAGTTGAAGCAATATATAATCCAGTTCACGCTGATGATGGCCTGAGTTAGGCAGCGATGATCCAGACAACGTCTGAAATATCGGAACTCACTCACTGTGGCTTTTGTCATTCTTTATTGTTGCAGAGACAAGTATGTTGGCATGGACCAATCCTTTTATTATTTTTCCTTATGCGTATGAGGAAGAAGCGGGTAGAGCAGATAAAATGATTGTCTTAACTCTTTTATTTACTGCCTTTTTCTTTTTAATGGCAGGTTATGTTGCGAAATATTACTCGTATGAAATGCTGAGATATTTGCAAAACACCGGACCACAGGTGTATGCAGTGGAGAACGAACACGCGCTGTTGTCCTTGCCGGGGAGCAGCGCACTTCATCACTACACCATCCGGGTCCTTCGCTTTGCGTGTATCTCAGCTACTTCTATCGATCTTTTTTGCCATCAGCAATCCACCGGTAAGGACAACAGCGCGTGTTCGTTCCCCACTGCATACACCTGTGGTCCAGAGTTTTGCAAATATCTCAGCACTTCATACGAGTTATATTTCACAACATACCCTGCCATTAAGAAGAAAGAGGCAGTAAATAAAAGAGTTAAGATTGTGATTATAACTAAGCCTCAGCTCAACTGGGTTCAATGCCGATATTGGCTCCCCAGATCAACCCCGTTGACGGGTGATTGCTGATGGCAAAAAAGATCGATAGAAGTAGCTGAGATACACGCAAAGCGAAGGACCCGGATGGTGTAGTGGTGAAGTGCACTGCTCCCCGGTAAGGACAACAGCGCGTGTTCGTTCTCCACTGCATACACCTGTGGTCCGGAGTTTTGCAAATATCTCAGCATTTCATACGAGTTAAAATGATTGTGTTCATTACCCAGACGATTATTCCAACCCAGGTGCTGATTTGACGCTGCGCCAGAATTACTAATCTCCCGTTCTTCCGTGGTTGGAAAATTGCCATAACTGTCTGCGACAAGCTCAGTGCATTTAATCCACGTGGAAATGAATAACTTTATGACTGAAAAGTCTATGTCGCACTTGAGGCACATTCACTGCATCCAGTTGTTCTGAGCTTGGAAATAGGCGCAAATCTCTCAGAATAAGAATTACTTACATAAACGGATAAGCGACTTACCACGCAAATCTTCAAGTTAGTGGATGCCTGCTTGATTGTGTTGATCAACTGCTCCAGCAGCGAACGAATGCACGGATCTGAATTGATGAGACGACGAAGTCGAGTGCTGTCAGATTCGGCGGCTATCTGAAACTTGAACTTTCTTATTATTACACTGTAAGTCTCCCCCTTGAATTACTATCACTCCCACGGCAAGACGCCAGCCGTTATTTTGTAGACCGATAACGGCTGTTAATCAGGTGTTTGCTGACTAGTAACCAAATATTTTCCTTATCCACCTATATTATCTGAAGTCTCGGCGTTGGTGGTGTCAGACATAAATCTGATTCTGTCATTAGTGAATATTGTCCGACTTTTTAACGATGAAACAGCAGTGAAACTCAGAAGAATGAACCATTGTCGAAAAAGATATCCATCCTATCTTGGACGATATGAAGGTTTTTAAACGTAGCTGCCTAAAAGGGTGTAGAAATAGTAGACACCACCTTCATCAACCTTCTAGATACACGAGGACACCGTTTGCCTACAGAAGAGCGCTTTATACAGATCCACTTTATCACTCTTAGTCACTTTACTCTATAAGTCACTTTTGCAAACCCTTAGGTTAGTCGTCGTACAGTTTACAATCCTTTTTCGCAAAGTCACATCCATGCACGTACTTGCTTGTTTACGTACTGGAAGTATGAGTTAATCCAACGAACCATGAATAGCTGCATACTCCGAAGCCACTTGCTTTTCAATAGCTATGTAGTTTCCTTTATAACTAGGATAAATCTCTATCCACAACCTAGGTATGCGTATGTACAGAATTCCAATGAGGACGCGCGAATTATGTTATACGAGAAAGATTTAAGACACACACCATTTACTAGGGCAAGAACTAAGGGCGTGAGTTTATCAGCTGAAAGAATTTTAACGCTTGTTTAGAGAAAAACACATGCAATCCTTTAACAACAGTTCCATTCGTTATGCACACGTTGGACGTGCATAGTACTGTTTTGAGGTTCTCAAGAATACACACGTGATCCTTGGCTCGATCTCGTGTTCCAGGCTCACCAGTTCTTGCATCTCTCCGAGTCCGACAAATCGGTTCCACACTTGTGTGGGAGTATAGTAACGCTGACTTATTACATCGATAGGCCATAACAAGTCATTGTATAGACCAGATATGCATCTAATCACCTCTATTGATGTCTGATTAAATCAAATGCGAGGTGGTCCTCTAAAAGATTGATCAACATTGACCGCTTTACTCGTCCCCCCTCCCTTACAAATATTCTTAGAATAATTGTCGTTGTAGAATTTTTGAGTAAACTGTACCTGCGAGTCTTGCCGACGCTTAATCTCTTCTAGGTTTTCCCGTAGCTCACGATACAACTGAAAGAATCATCCTAGCGTTGCAATATCAGTAAATGTCAAGTATTTAAAAAGTTTTCCTCTTTAAACTTCAAAATCCTTCAAATCTCCGAAACGGTGACGAACGTGTTTACGCAGCACTAGAACTACAAAGTCACCTCACTCAGTCCTTTCATTGTCGTGCTATTAGTGGCTTGTTGGTTATCGTTATGCTTCCTTTTGGACTTTGAATTTGCTAAATGACTTTAATTGCACTTATCCCAATACAAGATTCCACCGTTTTCTTGACCTCACCTGATCGAGGCTTACCAGAAGACGGGTCATCCACTTGGCTTTGTTTTTTAATCTGTCGTGCTGCTGCTTCCTCTTCCATCACCTTCTGTTCCTCTTTTAATACACGCTGTTGCTTCAGACGATGAGCCAATGGAGAATCCTCTTTCCTAAGAATCGTTACCAAATTTATCACCTATGTTGCTACATCGTTAAACCATCTCAGCTTCATCAAAAACTCACTGATTTTCATTGGTGTACACGCACTTAATAGCCCATTGGAGTGAGCAGCGTGTACAGAATTAATATCCACAAATTGTACTAACAATTATTATTCAAAAAAGCATATGTCACCATTTGTAACCGCTACTTTTGTCCTCTTTTGCGGTTCTTACACTCCTGCCATAACTGTACACTCTGTAAACCTTTCCAGCAACTCATCAGTTCAAATTGGCTAATGACAGCGATTGACGTTGAGCATTTCTACTCAACAAGCGTTTTAAGCACATATATAGCCATTTCATCACTTGTTATTTCTATTTTTTGTGTATGATTTCTGGAGGCGCGTGTAGCACAGATGTCGGAGGCGCCTTGCAATATATTTGGGATCGATCCCTCGTCCGAAGCTCACCAAGCCCCCCATCTCTTCGACGTCGGCAAACTGGTACCAGACCTTTCTGAGAAGATAGCAGACCTGACTTAATGGAACGATAGGCCATCGCAAGCTATCGTTTAAGCCGGATTTGCAATCACTCACCTCCAACGATGCTTAATGAAGTCGAAATTGTGGCTCATCGTTCAGAAATTGATCAACGCCGAGAGCTCTATCTTTTTTATTTTTTATGCAATATTTCTATTGATTTCTTTTTTATTTTCTATTTTTTCTTCGATTTTTCTCCATTTACTGTTTTCTATGTATTTCCTATGTAATATTAATGCTGCTCACAGTCTCTCTAGATTAGATGTTAAATCTGTCCAGCACATACCAATGGACAGTCGAAGTATTTAAGCTGTTTTTACTTGAAAACTTCTTTTTGATAAATACTCCGTCCTTAACAAAGTGTGCTCCAATGGCAGTGCGATCTGTATGAGGTCCATTTTAGTGTTTCACAGCCGTGATTCAGGTCTGTGCGTTGTCGTAAGAGGTATTTGTTGATTGGTACTTATCAATCACAGGTAGTCGCCTATTATTTCACAAAGTAAAACTTTTATAGGCGATATAGTCTTGTTTCCTTCAATTGTGCAAATTACTAATTGGTCGATAAGTGCCGATTAATAAGAAGGAGTCTGAGCATGAATTGCTTTACTACCACTTAGCCATGGTCGAGGGCTTGAAGCAGAATTTAGTTGAGCATACCGTCTAGATTCAGAATCCTCATCACCTTTTGTTGGTAATCGTTTTCTGTCCAACTGCAAGGTTTATTTTATAATACAGAGCAATTCTCGTCGAGTTTACTGCATGGAAAACGTACCTGTTGATGCTCGGCAAGACACTTTGACTGGATTTTTTCTCCAGTTCGTTCATATGTCCACCTTCGGAACGTTCTCCCACATTGCGAATACTCAATCAGACGCATAAGCACATCACCCTCCAATAAAACTAACATAATTAAACAAATAGAAGTAAGAAAAACTGTGGTTAGCGAGAAGGAAATCAGCACCGTAGGACTCAGGTGACGTTTGCAACGGAAGCGGAGGAAGCGATCTAGGACGTAAAGTAACGCTACTGTCCTACACATAATCGCCATGCTTATCTCCCCACCTACACAAAACCTTGTGCACTTCGATATTGGACTTCTCTAAAATCACCGCTTAAGGATTTGTAACGCAGTGATGTGTGACATCAGAAGTCCTTTTATTTCTACACACTCTTCCGTTTAACATGTGTTGTTTATGAGCTTTCTCCAATTTTTTTTTATATGCCTTTAAAGCACAATTTTTCGTAATTTATGAATTTTGTTAGTGCGTAAATCAAGAAAACGCGATTTTTTACGGGGAATCGCTGGCTTAACTAATATATCTATTGTTAAACATTGTTTAGCGCTACTCGCAGGCCCTTATGAATACTGGCAAGTCACTTCAATTACCCTGTTAGACTTTTTGCAATCAATACGATTTACTAAATGTTTTGCTTCTATTACTTTACAAGTTTAGGGCGCTTGTGGCGCAGTTGTTGGAGGCGCCACTGCGACACACACGTGGAATCGATCCTGGCGCCCAAGGCTCACCAAGACCACCATCCCTCCGGGGTCGGCGAATTGGTACCAGACTTGTCTTGGGGGCAGGCAGCACTGGTTCGATACATCGGTAGGCCATCGCGAATCCTTGTAGAGGCCAGATATGCATTCAATTACCTCCGACGATGCTTGGTTAAGTCGAATGCATGGTGCATCCTCCCTCAGGGATTGATCAACGCGGAGAGCTTTAATTTTACAACTTCAAACCTTGAGAATTAAAATTTGCTAGTATTTTCCAAAACACCTAATCTTGGAGGAGCGCAATCTATAGAATGGTATAGATTAAGATCAATAATTATAAAGATACTTGCCACTCTTACTTGATTTGGATGCATTCCTTTTCGTTCTAAAACAGCATTCATTTACTTCTCGCGAAAAAAACCTATGTTTATATAAAATCATGAAAATCGTGCCTGTATGCTCAACTGCAAATACAGAAATGAACCTGACTTGTCCACTCTTTCCACTTTTGTTAAAACTGAAAAACAAACTGTATCATTTCCGATGCTTATCCTCTGCTCAAGTGATTTCACCGAGTTCAAATGCTTTTACACAGTAACACGTGAATAATTAAATGGAAACGGTGCAAATAAAAAGCACAAGAAGAAAATAAGAACATTGTAGATTTTCTGACTGTAATGGAAGTCGGTCTTGAGATATTGCCACGCTACGGGGCTGCAAATGATGTACCGACTACAAGAACTATTGCTCCTCCAAATAGACAACATTGAAGGCGAGAATCGATCCACACCTGTCCTGAATAAAATGGCACTGCTGAGTGAAGCTAACCATACGAGCGGTGCTCGCAACATTGGATTCGATTTGATTCGACAATGAACACTCACATCGCAGCAACGACCGGATGTAGACCCTCAACTGGCATCAACGCTGATCCGAGAAAGGCGAATGTGCCGAAAAGTTGGTCGAAGAAAAGTTTTTATATCAACCTCGTATCATCACATTCATGTAAAAAAGGTATTACGCGTTGAGATTCTTTTCAGTTAAAAGCTGGAGCAATTGAATTGGGAACTGTATTGAACCATCGAAAACCTTAGCGTGACAAGCAGTTAGACCACATGAAAGATGTTGACGTTTGAGAAAAATTGAAGAAACGTGCTTTTAAATAAAAACAATTAGTGAAAAAACCTAGATACTTGCTTAATTCACCTTCACACGTCTTTTTTTTTCTTTAACTACATCGCTTCGCTTTGTTGTTTTCTAATCATCACCGTCATCAATTTGTCAGGATTATGTGGGGGTTTCAGTGCGATCAAAGATTTCGTCGCCTTTGTTGCTCATTTCTCCGATGAATGCTGTTAAAGCACGATTTCCATCATATTCTCAAGTTAGCGGTTATGAGACGACCCACGCCTTCATCAAAAGCAGTTGCCTGCCATTGTGAATGAAGGATGGTTTGCTACCTATCGACTAAATTCTTCCACAAATGTCGATTTTTGTGATAGATACGAGAGCACGTTTGAACGCCGTGAGCCTGCCTTTGTATAGCGGGCTATGTGAGATCTCCATCTTTGAAAGCAAGAGTTTTTAGAAGATGGCAACGGTGAATTTGACTGAATTTTTGAGTGCAGATATCTCTAAGTGTGGCAGATGAAGACGAAAATGAACAAAGCATAGTAACATTTATGAAGAATAGATATCCATTCGAAAAACTGATAGTAGAAAAGATGCTAAGAAATTAGGGACTACAGGATAGATTCACACATTACCCTACCATAAAAGAACGAGAGGCACTAAATGAAAAGTTAGGCGTTCTGATTTCGGCTGCAGCATCAGGTTAATGGGCTTCAATGCGGGTTTGTGCTCCTCAGATCATTTCCGTTGACGAGTAATCGCCGATAGTACCACTGCTGTAAAAAACTAGCAGAGAGAAATGGAATGCAGGGTCTCAATGGTGCAGTGGGTAACACGTGAATCACAGGAAGGGACAATCGCAGGTACAAATGTCGCATGGCATCCGAGTTTTGTGAACATCGAACCATCATTATGGCTGTATTTCACATAATACCGTTTTGTGGAAAAAAAATAATAGTCAGTAGTATCATTGTGAAGCCACTTTCTTTTAGACTTGATATAAATGATAAATTATCTTATTTCAATGATAAGCTAACACCAGATGGTCACCAAATATTCATTCGGCAAACGTCTCCACGTCTTCGTCTTTTTCTAAGAGCCGATGATTTGAGAATCGATGTCCACAGTCGTTCATCTTCTCGATGTGGTGTCTCAGTAGTTGTATCGAGTCGAATCTTCTTCAGCGGTGCACCGCTTGAATGATGTAACCTCGCAGAGCAGCGCACATTTATGCAGGACGGTTGTTGTTTAATATGCGTTGATAATAATTCATTGATTATTAATTTATAAGAGGAACAGAAGAGAGGAAGAGCGACTGTGGACATCCACCCAAATCATCGGCTCTGAGGAAGACGAGGACGTTTAGACGTTTAGACATTAGTCAAATAAATATTTGGTAAGCTCATCAAGGTAAGCCTCCTGCTAGCTCATCAGTGAAATAGGAAGTAAATAAAAAGGTTAAGATTAAACGAAAATAAATTGATTTCTTAAGAGCTTATTAAGTGAATACCAGTGAAATTCTCAGACATTTAGAAGCTTCGTTGTTATGATATAATTTTGCAAAGGATTTACATTAAAGAACATAGGGAGCTGTTTTTTATACGAATGTGCGCAAATGTTGCAATACAATATAATCCTACAGCCAAGAAAAGATAAAATCGCATCAATCGTTAAACAACCTGATTTGTTACATTTGGCAACCACGGAGTCATCTAAAAGCGACTGTAGCCAAACCAACACGGGCGCACAAATACGCTCGTTCAAACCGTTACCAATTTGCTCGTCAATGTTCTGAATAGGGCGCGTGTGGCGCAGTGGTGGGACGCTCCACTGCGACACACTCGTGGAATCGATTCCCAAACCCATGGCCCAGCCCACCAAACCCTTCATCCCTCCGGGGTCGGCTAATTGGTACCAGACATGTCTGGGAGGATAGCATCGATACATCACTGGCTCGACACATCGGTAGGCCACCGCAAGTCATAGTAAAGCCAGATATGCATTCAATCACCTCCAAAGGTACTTAATGAAGTCCAATCAAATGCAAAGCGCATCCCTCAAGGATTGATCAACGCCGAGCGCTTTGTGCTTTTATCCCTTTAATATTCTGAAGTGAGCACATCTAAAGATTATATCAGCCTTACAACGTCTTCATGAGAACAATCATATTAAGTCACAATGTAGTCGATTTTTTATTTACTGCCGATTCTTTTCATGGCAAGACATGATATGTTTTGCAAATATCTCAACATAATTGTGGAGATAAATCATATTAGACTTCAGTAAGTGTTGGAATGTAAAATAGTCATAATAAGTTTCCGAATTCCATGTAACTGTGATGATCAGTTGGCAACTGTTAGGCCAGATGGTGATGGCTTTTCCAGTTCTACCCTCACGAAAGATGACTGACGATTGCCTCTAACGAAGACCTGGAAACGTCATCACCTGTATCACCTGTACCACCTGTACACCCGCTGATCGCCGACTGACTCGAGCGGGCGCCAGCAAACCTTCCATTTTTATTTGTCGCGAGCAATAGTATCCCAGTGGGTTCTCCTCGCTCTAGAAACTCGTCGAGCACCATATCTTTCTTCTAGGCTTTTCGTAATGAGCTCTGATCATCGGATCGGTGGTCTTTCTGCAGTACGTTTGACATCACGAGGAATCCAGTCACTAACAGCTTTTGTCTATCGGTTGTCATTCATACGCATTACGTGTCCGGCCCACCTTATCTTCTACAGTTTGGCGTGGAGAAAGGCATCTTTGATTTTTAATCGTTGACGCAGATCGAAGCTTCGGATTCCATTCCTTACTCGGATCTTACTTGTGTGGAACGGGATACTCCTAGCATCGTCCTTTCGACTGCGCCGTCGATAACGTTGAGTGACCTTTCATCCTGCTTACGCAGCGACCAAGTTTCTGACGCATACGTTAGGGTAGGAAGTACCGTTGAATAAAAAAGTGGGCACGGAGTCGGGTATTCTTTGTTCTCTTCACTACATCCTCGATGCTCTTGAAAGCTCCCCAAGCCGCTCGTCTCTTACTGCTCAGCTCTGGAGCTAAGTCGTTCATCATATTGATTTCCCGACCTAGATAGATATAACTGGAGTATTCGGAAATATTTGTTCCGTTGAGCGTGAATGGGTCATACGAAACCAATCCGTTCTTCATGAACATGGTTTTTGTGAGATTTAGTCGAAGACCAATCTTTCTACAGCCTTTATCATAATCGTAAAGCTTACGTTCTGCTTGGCTAATGTTTGGTGTTATAAGGAGGA